CGTGCCACATATGACATAGCCATATAATTATAACGACCCATGGGTCCCATTGCCTGAGGACTGAAGATACTTCCGATACTTTTAAACTTCCTTAGACTAGAAGATCCTGGATGCCCTAGAAAATTCGTTGTACAACATGATAGATTCTGATCTATAGAGATACATGTGCGTACCTGGTGAAAGGGACCACAAGACGCATTTGCTCGAACCGAGATATCAGGTTTCAAAGGTCAAAAATAGAATTTTTGACAAAAACTAAGTTCAATTTAAAAAATGAATTCTTTAACAATAAATATATCGATATTTACAAGGACTTGAGTTTTTTGTACTTTAAAGTACATTTTTAAAGATGTTTTTTAACACGACGTATATTGCACAATCCCAAAAAAAGTGCATGAGAAAATTGGTTTTCCGAGTGCACACTGCGGATAGTTTCTCTTATCCTTTCATAAAGTCGACCCAATCACATTGCATACCAAAATTTTGGTAATTCTCTCCTGTCTCTAGTGGCGGGTAGTGCGCATGAATATCTAGAACATGTAAACAAAACGAAGCTTTGTGCACCCATACCCTTTCGCCTTTTCGGAGAGCAAAATTGTATCACATTTTTCTGTCCTGCGCAAACCTAGATCTATTTCTTGAAAACTCTTGCTCAAAGTGATGGTGAATTTGTTGTGAAGACATTATAATATAAACACTTTGAAGCTGTTCTTTTATCTTAAATGCTTTTTAAAGTTGGTTTGTGAGTAGCGAATGTGTTGTCAGATCGTCCCGAAGCGTAGATGTATCTATTTGAAGCAGAAACAAAAGGGAAACTTTAAAGCCGTTTTTCTCAAGACTTTGATTCCGTACCCTGCCCTACAATATCACCCTTATCTCAATAAGTACTGAAGATATCTTTAAAATTCAAAAGGCATATTGTTCAGAAATGATCTCTGTACATGAAAATGCAAAAAACCGGGGTTCTTCAAAATGTGTCATGTGGTCCCTTTCACCAGGCACTCTCACATATTATCCAGTTGCTGGGTAAGTTGCACTGCACTGATTTAAAAGAGACAAAGTCAGTTTTACTCAAATGCGTATTGGACTGGTCTCCTTGACAAATATTTATACCGTACCCCCTGCAGGGATATGAAAAACAGTTTTGTGTCGAATGCGACACAGATTTCACCATTAGACACGTTTCATTATTATATAAAAAACAGAATGTCTGGACTTTGGCGAGACCGAAAGACCTGTTTTAGATTACAAAATTACAAGATTTGTTGTCGGTCCTTGATCCCTACAGTACAGAATTCTCTATTTTATTAAGACCATTGGCCTTTATGCAATTTTTAAAAATATATGTAGACTATGTGTGTAAATTGTTATTTTGAGATTCAGATTTTTACTGTGTTTAACCGACCATTGACCAAAACCAAGCAGTGGTGTGAACTGTTGTGAATGCAACCAACTTGTGTTTTGCGCGCTAAACCACCAACCCTGCTATTTGCGCCAACTTCATTACTCATCCGAAGGGTGGTAGTGTAACGAGGTTTGAGTTTGACTGTATCTCAGTCTTTCTGGTGGAATGTTGTTTCCTACTCAACCCGGATTGGCCCTGACAAGCAGGATGGAAGCCCTCTTCCTAAATGATTTAAATTGTCTCGCCTACATAAAAACAATTTAAAAATCACCTGCAGTGGAAACCTGATATAACAGGGATGGTGGGAGTTGAGAAAAAGTCCTGTTATATCCGATCCCTGTTAAATCCGAAATGCAAGGAAAGTG